AATACAAACTAATACAATCTAATTAATCACTCACTCCTCTCCCCTTCTTCCCCCTCCTCTTCCCCTTCTAACTTCTCAATCCAACTCCTCCCCCTCCCTCCCTCCCCTCTTTCCCCACCTTTCCTATCATCAAAAAACTCATACCCAACCACACCCCCCTTCTTCCCTCTCACCGCCCTCAAGCTTAGCAACAAACCCACCTCCTTCTTATCAAGCAGCGGATCAACGACCTTCTCTTGCAATAAATCAAAAAAAAGCTTCAACTCAGGAATGACTTGTATAACGACCGTGCAAAAGCGTTGGATCCGGTTTTGAGAAAGGGTTGCGAGTCTATTATTACCGGTAGTCGATTATAATTAGCTGGTTACTTTAAAAACAAAAACGAAAAAAAANAAAAAAAAAAAAAAAACCCAACTTCGTCAACGCATCCCGCGTAATCAACGCCATAACCCCCCGCCCTAGCACCTGCACCAGTTGAAACAGCGGCTTGATATGATCCAGCGCGCGGTGAAAGTTCTCTTTCTTTAACCCTAGCCGGTCAATCACGTAGTCGGCACAACGCGAGACGAGAACCTGCGACGGGCCCGTGCGCGCGAAAGCTTGCGAGGATAGGAACAGGTCGAGACGGTCGCGCTCGGGACTGACGGTGGCGCAGATGCTGGAGAGCTTGTACCACTGCTCGAGCAGGCAGTAGCTGGTCCACATCTCGGAGAAGTGGGCGAGGGTCTTCTTGGTGTGGTGGACGTGCATCTCCTCGGCGCGGGCGAGGATCCGGGTGAAGGTGCGGAGGCTGCTGGGGCAGTCGGCGTGCTGGCTGACGGTCGCGGCGCGGCTGCTGACGGTATGGTCGGCGCGGAAGAGGCCGCCGGCGGAGCGGGCTTGGAAGATCAGTTCGAGACAGTGGGCTTCGCCGGGGGGGCCGAGGATGCGGGTAGCGATGAAGTTGACGCACTGGTTGGCTTGGTGGTCGAGGAAGTCGATGCGGGGGGCGCGGATGTTGCGGTGGGTAGTAAGGGTGCGGACGCCGTCGGTGAGGCGACGGAAGATGGTACGCATGCGGGTGTTGATAGCGTCGGCTTGGAGGTCGGGGGTAAGTGACCAGGTGACGGGGGCGATGATGCGGTATCCGTCTTTGACTTTGCTGAGGGAAGAGCCGTCGCTGCCGAACTTGAAGGCGCGCTTGGAGGGTTTGGAAGCGTGGGAGTGGGAGTGGGAGTGGGAGTGGTCTGGGTCGTGGGAATGGTCTTGGTCGTGGTCGTGGTCCTGGTCTTGGTCGTGGTCTTGGTCGTGGTCGTGGTTCTGGTCGTGGTCATGGTCATGGTCTCGGTCTTGGTCGTAGTCTTGGTCATGGTCTTGGTCTTGGTCGTGGTTCTGGTCGTGGTCGTGGTTCTGGTCGTGGTCATGGTCATGGTCTCGGTCTTGATCACGGTCTCGGTCTTGATCACGGTCCCGGTCCTGGTCCTGGTGGCCTGGCGCGACGTTGCGGACGGGCAGAGCAGCAGCAGCGAAAGGATAAGCTGGCCGACTCTCGGAGCTACCAGCAGGCCGTTCCCCGGCATTGCTATCACCATAGCTCGAATCCGAGTCGACGTCCATCTCTTCACCTTCACTCGAACCCGATCCTTTGGCATTGCCGCTATCTGGGAACTCGAGCCCTAACTCGGCTGTGACCCGCCGGATCTGCTCGACGAGGATCCATAGCGCTGCTATTGCGTCGCTGCCACCACTCCGAGCTAGGATCTGGGACAGCTCGCGATGGATTGGCACGACGAGAGTCTTGTTTGTAGTCAGTCAGTCTTGGTATAATCTCAGGAGTGAAAAAGGGGGGAGAGAGGGGAGGGGGGGAGGGGGGGAGAAGAATGGAAGAGAGAGGAAGAGGGGGGGAGGGAGAGAGGAGGGAGGGAGAGGAATAGACGAAAGAAAGAGAGAAATAGAGAACTTACATCGAGGATCCGCTGCGTAGCTGTGTCCGAGAGCTTTCCCGGTGGTGAACTAGACGTGTGTCGACCGTGCTCGAAGGACGGGGGATGGGAATGATGTTGGGAACGGGAATACGAGTCGCTTTCTGCTGCTTGTTTTCTTTTTTTCCGTTGCTGAGAGGCTGGGGTCGATATAGACGATGCGGATGCGGATGCGGATAGGGATGGAGGGTTGGCGATGTTGTGGAAGGCGAACTGGGGGGTGGAAGTGGAGGGGGGAGTAGGAGTTGAAGATGAGCCGAAGGAAAAGGGGACCATTGTAAGGAATTGCTCTTTTGATCTTGTGGATAAGGAAGAAGTGAAGATGTTAGGATGTTAATATAGCGATGGCGATGTCGATGTCGATGTCGATGTCGATGTCGATGTCGATGTCGATGTTGATGTAAAGTGTGAAGGTGTAAGACGTAAAGAGTAAAGACGTAAAGAATAAAGACGTAAAGAATAAAGACGTAAAGAGTAAAGACGTAAAGATGTAAGACGTAAAGATGTAAGGATATCAAGATTCCGGTACCTCGCTATTGCTCTTCGTGCTGCAGCTATAGCCAAGGTGGATATAGGTAAACATAGACCCAAGGTAAACGAGACAAGCCTAGCTCTAATTACGGCGATAATAATGATCGTGATCGTAATAGCGAAGGTGCAAGCGAAGGTGATACTGCGTCTTTAGATCCTCATCTGAGCTTGAATCATCGCTTGGCTGTTTACCAGCTGGATGGATCAGAGAGCCTTGAGGGATTAGGGGAATTAGCGAGGGTTGGGCTGATGCTCATGCTGGTACTGAGCCGGGCCGAGGCCGGTCGTGGATGAGGCTTGCGTCGGATTGGCTGGGCTGGCGGAGGAGCGTGCGATGCAGTTGGTTCGGGCATACTATCACCCGGGTATGGATGATTCAGCTGGAATCGATAATTCCTTTTTTTTTACATCGGAAATATGGATGAGTATGGCCTCTGGTCACTGGATGACACCGTTGGGCGGATGGCAGGCCGTGGCGCCGCGGTGCGCGAGCCACAACACTACTAACGTCGTCCGTGCGATCGTCTATCCGTGCTACTCTTGGTCCGTCTTCCTTTTATCTACGAAAGATCATAGGAATAATATTAATATTCTATAGAGAATGATGCCCGATGTGTATTACAGTAATGCTAGCTTGGTTTAACGCTACAGATATAAGCCTGTCTATGCTATCCTTGCCCAACGTCACATGACATAGGCTATGCTTATGCCTGTTTTACACTTTGCGCGACAAGACGACGAGGACGACGGGCAGATGCACACGTGGAGATGCCACCTTCGCCTTAGTCACTTAACAGCCCGGGTGTCATATGTTCGGCAGTGGAGTTGTAGCAGTATGTATATCTCCGTGTCTTACTCCCTCCTCATCCAGACTCCTCGGGATTGGATGACCTCCGCGAGCCCTGGAGCCACTGCCTGGAAGCTGTCTCATGCCGGCGCCCACCAGCACCCATGTCTTATTTCGTGCCACGAGGGGAGGGAAGGGAGGCCCCACTGTTTAAGCAATGGCATAAGTCGGAGTCGGTGCGTCAGTGCAGGTCTTGCTTGGCCTCAGCACCAGCCAGAGCATCAGCGTGAGCGTGAGCATCAGCTTCAGTCAGCAGCAGCTCAGCATCGTCTTTCGTCTATATATACTTTCTCTTCAAGCACACGCGGGCTCGAAATGTTCTGGGATTTGCATCCGATCTATTCTAGTACTTCTCCCGTCAGTCTCGGCCGACAATCTTGTAACGGTCATCAAGTGGTTGCGCTTCTCCGAGCAGTATGTCCAAACAACAAGATCTCAACAGCGTAGGTCGAAATCATCCAGCTTCGATCCTTACCCCGATCTTTACCCCAATCCTTCACTCCGATCCTTAACCCCGCCTTAACCCCGATCCTCAACCCCGCCCTAACCTCGCCTTAACCCCGATTCTTCACCCCGACCCTTAACCCCGATCCTCAATCCCGCCTTAATCCCCTTAATCCTCTTTAATCCCCCTTAACCCCGATCTATGCCCTTAACCCCGACCCCGATCTATGCTAATCTTTCCAGCTTCTCATGAGAGTGCTCCGCCAACAAGAACCGCCCTCCACGTCCCTCCTCGCCATCACATCCCCCGTCCTCTTCCTCAACTTCCACGAAACCCGAAACTTGTTCGCATTCGTCAATCATGACTCCTTTAAACAATGGATGGCCGAGCATCAGTCCCACCCCGGCGCCATCCGATACTGCGCCTTCAATCCGTACCTGGTCTGGCCCGTCTTGGGCTGGGATCTCCGCGTGGCGGGCATCCGGAACCTGCGAGGCGAATTCCTCGGCACCATCATCAACCAGCGGGTGCTAGAACAGATGTGGGAGCTATGGCAGGATGACGCGGAAGTGAAGGTCGAGGAGGAGAGGGCGCCCACATCGGCACAGCGGGCGCCGCCGATATCAGATCGAGGGGGATACTATGCAGGCCTGGGACAGCTCACGCAGATGCTCGGCTGGGTGTTGTTCGCCTTCACTTTGAGCGCTTCGAAACTGCTCCAACTCGGCCTCGGGCTGGTATCGTTGATCCCGTTCTCCTTCATCCTGTCGGTCTGGTGGAAAGCAGTCCGCGCTGTCTCTGCCGCTTGCGTTCGAGTCCGGGACTGGGTGATCCGGCAATCGTACGCCAGGTCGGCCCATCCAACGAGTGAGGCCGCGACGACGGCTCGCTATAACACTACGGACCATGTCCCGGATACTTCTACCTCTTCTTCGTCCTCTTCTTCCCAGAGCTCGACGCGTGACGAGAATGCGACTCGGGTCTTTAAGGCCTTGGATAAAACAATATTATACTGCCCGAGCACGAGTGATGTCCTGCCTGCTTTTACGTGCGATTCCGAGGCCGAGGCCGAGGCTGCTTATGCCGCCCATGCTGCCGCCGCCGCTCATGCCGAGGCTGCCCACGACGCCGCTGCCCACGACGCCCATGCCGCCGCCGCTCATGCCACCGCTACCCACGCCCATGCCGCCGCCGCTCATGCCACCGCTACCCACGCCCATGCCGCCGCCGCTCATCATACCGCCGCCGCCGCCGAGATTAGCGTCACTACCACGATCCTTCCAAGACCCCTAAACACTTCAATCTCTATCAACTTCTTGCTCCTTTCCGTATTCTATCTCGCTTTTCTATTCGCAGTATTTCGTTATTGCGTTTGCCGGAAGAGAACTATCCCATCATCACCCACTCATCGCCGCCGCCGCGATTCTTCGCCCGACCAGATTGCTTGTAAGTCTTGATCTTTATCGATACGGGATTCTTATCTTTTCTGCCGTCAATGCTTTATATCCGCTCTTCATTCTTATCCCGCTTTTTACCGATGCGGGATTCTTATCTTTTATATTCTGTCCATACCTTATATACACTCGTTCTGTCCATGCCCTGTATCCGCTCTTCTTCATCCCGCTCCTCACCGATGCGGAATTCCTATCTTTTCTATTCTATCTATGCCCTATATCCGCTGTTCCTCATCCCGCTCTTATCCTTATCCTCCCTTCCTCTCATCCATCTTTTCCACTTCCACTTTCTGCGTCGCATATTCTAATAAAAAAAATCAAATAACTAACCCCCTGTCCCTCTTAGCAACCGACCCACCCACTCCTCCTACCAAACAACCCATCCCTCTTCCGTCAACCCCTCAACTCGACCTTGCTCCTTCCACCCCCCAACTCGACCCTGCTCCTTCCACTCCCCAACTCGACCCTCCTCCTTCTACCCACCGCCGAAACCACATCCCTCACCACATCCCTCACCACATCCCTCACCCCTACTCCCCACCCCCCCTCTCCGCCCGCCCTAGCATCGAATCCATCGAAGCCCGCCTCAGCTCTTTCGCTACTGAAACGGAGAGACTCACATCCGCCGTCGAGGGGATCAATCTGCGGCTGGAAGCTAATCCTTTTGCTTTGCCTGGCTTTGTGGAGGCGGGTGGTGAAGAGGAGGATAGGGAGGGGAGTCGGTGCGAAGAGCAGGAGCACGATAAGCAAGGAGGGGATGAAATAGAGGAGGATGAAAAAGGGGAAGGAGCGGGGGGGGATGAAACAGAGGAGGATGAAAAAGGGGAAGGAGCGGGGGAGGTTGAGGAGAGGGAAGAGAGGGAGGAGAAGGAGGAGAGGGAAGAGAAGGAGGAAGAAGGAGAGGAAGAAGAAGATGCAGATTCAAAGCAAAACCCTTTCAATAGCGAGAAAGTCTCGACCTTGGTACGTAACTGGGAAGGATGGGGTTTTTCGAATCGGTGATGGTGGTTGTAGTTACTAAGGAGCAAATCTGATTGATTGGTGTATCGGATCTAGGACGCGGACGTCGAATTAGAAGGGAAGAGGGGAAGGGGGATGGAAGCGGAGGCTATCTTTGATGATATGAAAGGATAGGATAGGATGATATGCGTAAGGCATAGCATTAAAGTATTATTTTAGATTGGATTGTTTTGAATTGAATTAAATTGGATTGGATTGATTTGATTTTAATTGTTTTTAATTGTTTTTAATTGGTTTGTTTTTAATTGATTTGATTTTAATTAATTGGAATTGAATTTGATTTCGTTTGAATTGAATAAAATTCATTTGAATTGAATTGAATTGAATCACTTCTAAATATCAATTCAAAGTCACTTACTCACTCACTCACTCACACACTCACTTACTCACTCACTCACTCACTCACTTACTCCTTCTTTCTTTCTCTCCTTCTTTCCTTTCTTAAAAATAATAATTATAGTTACTTAAAAGCAAAGCAAAGCAAAGCAAATCTAATTAATTAATTAATATATCGGATCTCAAACGCGGACGTCGAATTAAAAAGGAAGAAGAGAAAGGGAAGGGGAAGGGGAGGGGGAGGGGAAGGTATCTTTGATAATATAAAAGGATGGGATAGGATAGGATAGGATAGGATAAGATAAGATAGTAAGCGGAAAGGTGTAGTAGTGAAGTATTGGATTGGATTGGATTGAATTGAATTGGATTGATTGGATTTGTTTTTAAATGAATTGTTTTTAACTGATTTTAATTGATTTGATTAGATTTTATTTGATTTGATTGGATTTGTTTTTAATTAAACTAGTTTTAAATATGATTTTAAAGTCGATCGATTCTTTTTTCTTTTCTAAAAAAATAGTTATAGTTACTTAAAAGCAAAGCAAAGCAAATCTAATTAATTAATTGATTAGTATATCGGATTTAGAACGCGGACGTCGAATTAAAAGAAGAAAAAGGAAAGGGAAGGGGAATAGAAGCGGAAGCGGAGGTTATCTTTGATGATGTGATATGAAAGGATAGGATAGGATAAGATAGGATAGGATAGAATAGTGGGCGGAGGGGTGTGGTAGTGAAGTGTTATTTTGGAAGGGATTGGGTTAGTTTGGGTTGGATTGTTTTGGATTGAATTGAGTTGGATTTGTTTTGATTGGAATTAAACCACTTCTAAATATAAATTCAAAGTCGCTCACTCACTCATTCACTCACTTAATAACTCACTCACTCACTCACCCCCTCCTTCTACCTTTTCTTTTTCCTTTCTTAAAAAATAATTATAGTTACTTAAAAGCAAAGCAAATCTAATTAATTGATTAGTATATCGGATCTAAAACGCGAACGTCGAAATAAAAGGGAAAGGGGAAAGGGAAGGGAATAGAATAAAAGCGAAAGCGAAAGCGGAAGCTATCTTTGATGATATGAAAGGATAGGATAGGATAAGATAGGATAGGATAGGATAGGATAGTAAGCGGAGGGGTGTAAGGGTGAGGTATTATTTTAGAATGGATTTATCAAGTATGCTTATATTATTATAAAGTCGAAATACTATAAAGCTAGCGAATTTTTAAATTTATATAAAGCTTTATCGACTTTTACGAGCATATTTTTTTACTTAAAACCGTTAAAGAGATAATACGTAATTAAAACGCTATCCGTATGTTTTAAAGCATTAATAAAAGCGTTGACGACGTCGAATCGCTTTATTTTTAAATCAAATTCTATTGCGATAGCTATTATAATCTTAAAAGGTTTAGCTGCTAGCGTAGCAGCGTAAGTTAAAAAAATAATAGATTCGTTTTAAAAATCGCTTTTAATAATAATCTTCGATTTAAATCTTACGATTTCTTCGGACGATGTGACGACCTTAAGCGATTACTTAAAAGAACTTACGAGAGCGCGGAGGTTCATATAAGAGCTTAAGAGAATCTTAAAGTAATGACTTAGAATCAACAATTACCGAGTATAAAGGTCGAAGGTAGCTAAAGTTTATATATACGAAAGTAAAAACGCTAAAGACTCGTAAACTATGATTTATAAGTCAAAAGCGGAGAATAAAAAAATACGAAGAATACAAAAGAAAAAAAAAAGGAAGTAGCTTAGCGTATATAAAGTGCGTCTAAGAGATTTAGCGTGTTATCATACTACTTTCCCGTCCGAAAAAAGCTCGTCCTCGAGCGTTTATTTATTACTTTATTATTGCTTAAGTGATCGTAATCATTAATACCGTTCGAATAAGCTTTGATCTATTCGAAGAGCTTCGCGGAAAAGCTGAAAAGCTCTTTATGTTTTAAGTAGAAGTTACGTATTTTAAAAAGAGCGTACGCCGTATATGAAGTCGAAAGCGAAGTATTAAATAAAGTTAATATCGCGGCCGAGCTAAAAAGCGCGGTATTTAAAGTGCTTTTTAGTTTAGCGTACCGTTAAGATATTCTTTACTTCGTACTTAAGTTCGCTAATAATATTAATCGAGTTAAGTTTAAGATTGATTTGCTCGAAAGTAAGGTTATTAAAAGCTTTTCGTAGCCGTTTGAAGTAGAAGATTAAATGAACTTTTATTAACTCGAAAAGCTTAAGTTTAAAGCTGTTATAAACGTTGTCGATAACTTCGAACGGTTTATTCGTAAAGTTATCGAGCTTTTTTAACGGTCGAAAAGTAAAAAACGAGCGTATGTTTAACTAAACCTTATTATTAACGTCGAAGTTAATCGAGCGCTTTGATTTATTAGCTTGTTTAACTATACGGTCTTAAGCGCGTTAAAAGTGCTTTTTAACGAAGTTCTAAGCTTTGAAGTAGCGGTTAGCGTAAGCGCGAGCTTCGTTTTAATTAAGCTTGCGAGAAAAGGTTTAGTCGTTAAGTCGTTTTAAGCTTTAATTCTAAGTAGTTCGAAAGGCGTAGACCGCTGAAAGAGTCGTAAAAGAGCGTCAATTAAGCGAAGTCTATTATAAAAAAGAACTCACTTTAATCGTCTTAATAATAGCTTACGAAAGGACGGAAGCGCTTTTGCAAGTATTAATTATAGATTTCGATTTGACCGTTAGTCTCGAAGTATGCGGCGGTGTTAAAAGTCAGTTTAGTACCGAAGATCTTATTGAATTCTTTCTAGAACTCGGACCAGTATTAAGGTCTTTTATTAAAAGTCAGTATTAAAAGAGCTTTAAAATACTTATAGATATAATAAATATAAAGCTTAGCGAAGCCTTTAGCATCGATAGACTTATAATAAAAGATCGAAATTGCTTGCTTAAAGAAGCGGTCGATTATTATAAAGACGTTGTCGTAATTGTGTTTGTTTTTATTAAAGTTATAAAAGTTTATAATAACGTGCTCTTAAAAGCGCGAAAAGATCGAGAAAAGTTAAAGCAAATTAAGTTTTTTATCGCGAAGCATTAAAGCTCGTTTGCAAGCGTAGCAGTTGCGGTAGTATTAATTAACGAATTTAATTATACCGTGCTAATAGTATTGTGCTGCAAAAAGCTTATAAGTTTTGCGAAAGCTAAAATGTGCCGTAAATACTTAGTCGTAAACTTCTCGGACGAGTAACGAGCGCAAGTTTTAGACGTTAAGAACTAATAAGCGGCCGTTATAAAGCAGCAAGTCGCTTTTTATAATAAGTTTAACTCGTGAACCGTAGTTTACGAGTAAAGACTTAGCTTTAAAAGCTTGAATTCGAAGTATTATAAAACTAAAAGCGGTCTGATTAGCTTTTAAAACTTAATTAATAACTCGAAATGTCGGTAAAAGCTCCGCGATCTTTTCGATGATAACGGCGGTCTTTAAAAGCGTAAGTTAACGTAGCTCTTCGGTTAAAAGTCGTAAGTTAACGTTATCGGCGCGGAGCAGCGTTTGCAAACGCTAAGTGCGCTTAAAGCTGTTTTAAAAAAAGAGCTTTTCGGTGCGACGTATTAGCGCGTTAACTAAAAGGTTGTCTTTATTTAATTTATACGTAATAATAAAGTTGTAGTCGGAAAAGAACTTCGCTTAGCGTGCTTAACGAGCGTTAAAGGTCTTAAAGATTATAAAGTATTTTAAAGCTTTATAGTCGGTGATTACTTAAACTTAATAAAAAGAGCCGGCGAGTTCGGCGCGGAAGTTATTAAAAGAGCGTATAATAGCTAGCATCTCTTTATCGTAAACAACGTAGTTAAGCTTAGCGAAAGCTATAGTTTTAAAGTAATAAGCGATTAGTAGCCAATCGGAATTATGCTTTTAAAAAAGGACTAAAGCGATTACGCCGTCGGAAACGTTAATTTCTAGCATATAAAAGAGGTTTTAATTATAATGCTATAAGATTGGCGTAATAATCAAAGCGAGCTTTAAAAAGTCGAAGCTCTTTTAATATTAAGAATTGAATAAAAAAAAACGTTAGCTTTAATTAAATATATTAAAAGCTTTGCGATCACGCCGTAGTTTCGAATGAATCGGCGGTAAAAGTTATAAAATCTAAAAAAGCTTTAAACGTTTTTAACGGTTATAAAAAGCGCTTAATGCTTTATTATCGACGTTTTATCCGGATCTACTTTTAAGCTTTCGATAAAGATAATAAAGCTTAAGTATTTTACTTTAATAATGCTGAATTCGCACTTTTTAATATTAGCTTAAAAGCTAGCGTCGTCAAGTCGTTAAAGAACTTAGCGGACGTAATAAGCGTGCTTTAAAAGGTCGAAAGAATAGATTAAGATATCGTTTAAATATATCGTGCAAAAGATGTTTAAAAAGTCGAAGAAAAAGTTATTTATATAGCGTTAATAAGTAGCGGGTCTATTAATCAATCCGAATAAAAGAACTTTGCACTTGTAAGCACCGTAGCGTATTTTAAATATAATAAGCTTTTTTAAAGCTAAGTCTATCCGTATTTTATAAAAAGCTTACCGAATATCGAGTTTCGTAAAGATTTTAGCTTTTAAAAAACGTGCGAAAGTCTTATCGATTAAAAGGAAAAGGTATCGATCTTTACGAATAAAGTTGTTTAACGCGCGGAAATTAATATAAAAGCGGAAGGAACCGTCTTGCTTTTTAGTAAAAAGGACTAGAGCTACAAATAGCGCTATTAAAAGTTCGATAAAACCTTTATTAAGATTGTCGATAAAATAAGCTTTAATAAGCTTTAGCTTGAAGATCGATATCTTATATAATAATAAGTATCGAAGCGCTTTTTCTTTTCTTTCGAAAAGCTCGATTTTATAATCGTAAAGTTTATGTAATGCTAGCACGTTGCTAACGGCTTTAAAAAACACGTATGCGTAATCGAAGTATTTAAAAAAGATAAGAAAGTCGTTAATAAGCTTTAATAGTTCCGCTGCAAAGTTAATAGTAAAAATAAAGCCGTTAATAAAGCGTGTTAGCGCTGCTTAATAATCAGCTTAAGTAAAAGCAATCGTTTAACGTTCGAAGATTAAGCAATCGAGCTCGTAAAAAAACGTAGAAAATAATTTTACGTTTTTTTAACGAGCGATTATATAAAAAGCGTATCCGAAGACGCCGTTAATTTTAAAGTTTCTATTGATTTTATGCTTAAATGTTTAGCGGGAGCGTTTAACGGGTAAAAGAGGTTTTACAAAAGCGATATCGATTAATATAAGCTTACGGTTTATTTAAGATATTGATTTAGCGTAGTCTTTAAAAAAGGTTTTTTTCGTAAAGCGAAAGAGTGACGGCTTTACGAGAAAGTAAATAAAAGAAAAAGGTTTAACGATTTAAAAAAAAAAACGAAAGGAAAACGATTCTAAAGAAAAAGAAGTGATTTTGCGATTATCGTTGCTACTTAATTTACTCGTAAATTATAGTTCATAAGTGAAATAGCGTCGTAAGCTTTTTAAAAGCGATTTAAAGCTCGATCACGCTTATTAGCGTCGTGTTAATAACGAGCGTTTACTTTACGCTAATTAAAGTATATAATTTTAATAAGTTTAGCGTAAGTAGCGGTCGAAAAGTTAAAACGAAGCTAATAAAGCTTGCGGCGAGCGCAGTCAAAGAGAATCTAGTGCTCAGCTAATTATGCTCGTCCGAAGATTACGTTATGATTTTTAAAATTAATAATAAGAAAAAGAGTAAAAGATTAAACGCGCTTATTAACCGTAAAGTTAAGAAGTGCAAAATATAAGATAATAGCTCTACGAGCTTTATTATATGATTTGATAAAAAACGAGGCCGGAAAAGGTTGAAATTTGAATTAAAGGTTTAAAAAAAAAGAAAGTGATTTAAGTAGCGTTAAATCAATTAACGCGTACTTATTAGCTTTTAAGTCGAGCAAAGCAAATACTTTGTACGAAAGGCTATTCTTGATAAAGGTGACGGGTATAATCATAGCTTTATTATTAAAAAGCTTCGTAAGGTCGAAATATCGTATATTTCGAAGTTGGCTTAAGAAAGAAGCTTTGCTTAAGCTTCGACGTTTCTTTTATTATCGAGAGCGTCGGAGTCAGCAAAAAGGAGCTCTTAGTAATCCTTAAGAGCGTTAAAGTAAAGCTTATCGTCCGAGTTATTCGAATAAAAGCTGTATTCAAGTCTAGCGCCGTATTCTATCTCGTTGATTAAGTAGTAGCGAAAGAGCTTCGGCGTATTCGAGTCTTTACGAAACGATTTAAAAGTCTTGATCGCTAATTTAAAAGCGTTTCCGAGAAAAGAGAATTTATTAAATCGATTAAATCGATTTGTATCAACGTTAAAACTATTAAAAGTTTAACGCTAAAAAGTAAAGAAAGAGACGAGAGCTAAGCTATTTTAGCGGTTTTCGTAATAAGTGATTTGCTTAACCGCTGCTTTTTAAGCCGAGCGAGATTCGTTACGAGCTTTATTATAAAAGCTTTTCGCGAATTAAGTATTATACTTAGCTTATAAAGCATCGTAAAGCTTTGCAAACGCGTACTAGCTAATAGTTAATTGCTAGACGGCGGTCTAAAAGTCTTTAAAAGTTGTAGTCTTAGCAAATTTTAAATAGAGCTAGTCGCGCAGCGTCTTAATAATCTTAAAATACAAGGCTTTACGTAATCGGTCTTCGTCCTTGATTTCGGCGGTAACGGCGAGCTTCGAGAAAACAAAATAAAAGTTTTAAAATTGCTAGTTAAGCTTTATATAAAGTTTTTCGAACTTAATTAACGCTTTAACCTTTTTAACGAAGTCGTTTAAGAACTCGAAAGCGATCTAAACGAGTTCCGAAGCGGTTACGAAGTTGCTACGATCTATAATTAAAAAAGCTAAGAATAAGTAAGCTGTCCTTTCGGTTTAGTTAAAGTGTTGCTAGGTAAAGTGCAAGGAGAGCAGGGTGCACTGACCACTAAGGCAGTGCACGGACCTCAGGCCTTGGCGCTGGTTCCTACTAGGTACAACCTCGCTCTTACTTCGTAGTCTCTTACAATACAAGTCAATCAACCACAACATTAGCAAAGCTTCCTCGTGACTTAGTACTATCATCAGATTGATACCAGCAATAAGTTATGAGCCCCGAAGCCTGATTCAATTCATTCTAAGGTATTTCCAGACTTCAAACACCCTTTTCGGCGTGTTAGAATACTTACCCCATCTCCCTGACAATTCGTCACCGTGGCGCGCGATTCGTCAGAACGCGCTTCCACAGCATCCTTCGCAATTGATTCTCAGTTGCAACCTGCTAGTGTAGCGAAAGGTGAGGCCGAACCTGGCGGTTCCTTAAGCAAGAAGCAAAAGGAAGCTGCAGTCAAGGCAAACCTAGCTATACAGCAATATACCACGAAGAGAAGAAAGGCGGCAAAGGAACTGCTTGCTTTAAAGAAACCATCATTAGTGCTTGAACCTGGAATCTCTTCATCACCTCTTTAATCGCGCTACCCAACGCTACCAGACGTAGGAAGCTCACTATACGTGGCAGCAACTCTGCTTGAGGTATACCCTTAATCTTTCTTCCGCGAGGCTAACAAAGGTGAATTGTCATCAAGTGAAGACGAGTTTACTACTCCTTTAAAGAAGATTCCTTTTAGGTCGCTAGCACGCTCAATTGCTAGCGAACCTCCCCTTTCGAGTCCTCCGAATCCTCCGAATCTTCCGAGTCCTTCGAGTCCTCCCGAACCACTTATTACGACTATACTTATACGTCGAAAGAAGATGAGTTCGAGCCACAGCTTCAACTTACTCGAAGCTTTAAAGCTAAAGGGAAGTGAGAACTATTAGCAATGGAAAGATAAGGTGATCAATATTGCTAAGTCTAATGAGATTAATAAATATATCAATCCAAAGTTTAAGTCTTTGATACTTATAGAAGTCGACGAATGCGACGACACAATTAAAGCAAAAGACTTGCAAAAATGGTTAGATTAAGATATCGAAGAGTCATAAATGAAGCTTGTAATTACCTTGAATTGCAAAGCCGGTCCTTTCGAACACACACAAAGTAAGACTACAGCTTTAGATATATAAAAGGCTTTATAATACTAGTATAAGGGCTCAAGTACGGTTTTAGAATACAACGCTATTCAGATTTACGTTATAGCTAAATACGAAGACTTCTTTTTATTCGAGCAATTCGTTATGGCTTTTAAGACTTCGATTACGAAGCTCGAAGCTCTCGATATTGCGCCACTTGCTCAATAGAATCCAATGATGTTTATCGCTGCTTGCTCGGAGAAATAGCTAATTTGGGCCGAACGCTAGCGCTCGAATTTGCGTATAGCTACTATTATTATCAAGGACAAGAAGGCCGAGATTACCTTAGAATCTTTGATTAAAGATATCACCGACGAAGCTAAAGCTAACGATTCTACGAGAACAATCTACGGCCAAGCTTTATACGGAAATAAATCCAACTCTATAAACAATTTAAGTGGATACAACAAGTCGAAGGCTCAATTGCTAGCTGACAAGAGACTTGATTACAAACACTGTAAGCAGCCTAAACCTTTACACTCCCTCGAGGATTGCTTCGTTATTAATAAAGAGCTACGAGAGGCGTTTGAAAAGAGAACTAGCAAGAAGTCAGTCCTTTACTTCCAGCGCAAAAGAGGAAACAAAAAGAAGGACGATGAGGAGGTCGATGACGAGATCTTTAGCTTCGCACTCCTTCTTAGCTTAGACTCTACCAACAATTCTATCAATTCAACCTTACACAAAGACCGTTGGCTCTACGATACTAAAGCAATTGATCACGTGTGCAACGATCCATCTAAGTTTTTTGAGTATATAGCTAGAGATGATCTCCCTTTTATGAGCAGTTTGAGTAGCTTAATTCGACCCTTCGGTATTGGAACTTGTATCATTAAATCCTTTAAAACCAATAGAAAAAGAGTGCTTAAGTGTTATAATACGCTCTACGTCCTTTAATTACCAGTTAATATTTACTTTGGCTATAAACTCAATAAAATCGGCGGTTACTAGAGAGGAAACAAGCTGTTTACTTCTACTAACAAAGAGATCTGTAAGGTGGATGCTAAGCTTTTTATTATTAAGGAGAAATCTTGCGCACCTTTTATTCTCGTCACCGACTAATACGCTTTGCTTGCAATTCAAGCTCCTTTCATTCAAGAGACTCTCATTCTTATTGATATCGCACCTTTCGCTTTCGTCACTAAACCTCATTCTCATCAGCAAGTTGACCGCAGCCAACTTAGTTACAGCAATCAAAACAATAATTACGCTCAACCATTACGCCTTTAGCACTCTTGCCTCCGACCACACCTTGGCTTTCGCGCAATTCTAGGACCTTAAAGGGGTGCCTAGAAAGGGGTGGTACAGCAAAGGGTGAGTGTATGATTAAAGGGTGTGTTAATTAGAGGTTTTCCCTTCCCGGAGGTCGTACCTACTACATTCGGTAGTCAATTTGGGTGGACCGTGCGCGTGGAGGTGGTTTTTCCTTTTACTTAAAATCAATTCAAAAAAAGTATATTAGTTTAGATACAATTGGGTGCTGCCGAGAGCTTTTTGAGGCCTCGACAAAGGGGTGTGTTGCTAGGTAAAGTGCAAGGAGAGCAGGGTGCACTGACTACCAAGGCAGTGCACGGACCTCAGGCCTTGGCGCTGGTTCCTACTAGGTACAACCTCGCTCCCACTTCGTAGTCTCTTACAATACAAGTCAATCAACCACAACATCAGCAAAGCTTCTTCGTGACCTGGTACTATCATCAGATTGATACCAGCAATATAAAGACGTAGTTTTTACGTTAGCGTTTTATAAAAAAGTATTTTTCGAAAGCTTTTAAGTTATCGAAGACGCGGGCTTGCTAGTAGCGTGCTCGGTAACTTATACTGTTTAAGAGCTTTTATTTAAAGTTAAAAATCCGTTCGATACGAGCGCGACTTTAAGAAGCTAAAGAAAAGGCTTTAAGAGTGTTGAACTTAACTAAAATACGAAAGTTGGTTAACTTATAAAAAGAAAGTAGTTTATCGTCGTCGGCGAAGAAGCGGCGAGAGTTAACGGTTTTATAAGTAAAAGGAGTAGTTTAAAAGACCGAAGGCTTATATAGCTCTTTGCTTTTAGAATTATCTTCGAAAGACATTTAAAAAGGCTTTGACGAGCGTTCCGTAGTTAGCAAGACCGCTTAAAGCTAGTTTAATTCCTTTCGAGCTCGACGGGCTTTTTTTTTCAACTTTTTTAACGAAGGTTTTTTGTTCGCTAGCGCTTTTATCGAGCTTTTCGTTGCGAGTTGTTATGTCTGCGAAAAGCTTCTTAAGCTTAGCGGCCTTTCGTTAGAACTAAAAAAGAGCTTAATATTGGGCTAAAGCTTCTTCGGGGTTGGTAAAGGCCGAGGGATCATCTTTATCGTCTTGCTTATTAATAGCTTCTTCTTGAGTAGAAAGAACTACTAGTTGGGCCGTAGAAGAGGAAAGAACTGCTAGAGCAGCTTTAAAAGGTGTGCGAAGGATTTTGCCCGCGGGGCGAGGGTTGTTGTATTGTATAAGTGCTATCTTTCAAGTTATACTTAAAATAAGCCTTTTCGTGACCGTTAAAGTCGTTTGAATGTTTTTTAACGGTTAACTATTAAAGAATTTTAAAGAAGAAGAATATTATTAAAGCCGTTTTCGGCGGAACAAAGTAGTTGTTAATAATATAACGACTTTAAGCGATTACTTAAAAGAACTTACGAGAGCGCGGAGGTTCATATAAGAGCTTAAGAGAATCTTAAAATAATGACTTAAAATCAACAACTATCGAGTATAAAGGTCGAAAGTAGCTGAGGTTTATATATACGAAAGTAAGAACGCTAAGGACTCGTGAACCATAATTTATAAGTCAAAAGCGGGGAATAAGAAAATACGAAGAATACGAAAGAAAAAAGGAGGGAAGTAGCTTGGCGCATGTGAGGTGCGTCCAGGAGACCTGGCGTGTCGTCACAGACGAGCTAGTTTTATATATAAATACTTATTTAAAAAGTATAGGTTTGAACTTAACTTCGCTCTCGAGAATCACTTTCTAGCAGTTCCTTTTTTCTAAGTTATTTAGCTTTATAAAAGCTCCGTTGATAAACTCTTTACCGTATAAGTGTCGTTATAGCTTTTTTTTAATAAGTAAAAGGTTTTAAATGTTTTCGTTCTTGCGAGTTAAGCTATTTTAATAATAGCTTAAACGAAATAGCAGCTGCTATAATAGCGTGCAATATCTCGTTATCTTTATTATTTTCGCGCACGAGTTTATTATTAGCTTAAAAAGTCGATATAAAATCTAAAACGCGCGAATAAGAACTCGAATCGGCACGAAAGTTATTTAAAAGAAGCTTATTAATACTTGCGTATATTTTCGCGCGTTTTCTAATGCGGCTATTAATAAATAAATGCTCTTTATTAAAGTCGGAATTTTTTTTAGAATGCTTATAATTTAATTTCTTATTATTAATGCTCGCTTTAGAAAGGTCTAAAAGCTTTTCTTTAATTGTTCGGTTTAAATCTCCGCCGGTTATTAACGTAAAAGCTTTCGTTAGTCGGCTTAAAGCTTAGCTTTTCGAGCTCCGGCTTTAAATAATAACTTAAAAGTATAATTTGCGCGCTCTTTTATTAAGGTCAAGTTTTTGCTCGCTTACTATGCTTTTTTTTTGCTTTTAGCAACCTTAAAGCACTTTCGCTTTTGCTTTTAGCTAAAAAGCTAGCGAAACGGTTAGCGGTATAGTTCGAATCGTTAAGGTTTATTAAATTGTTTCGTAAAGCAATTGCTTTCGGTAAAAACGTATTTATTAAGTCTTTAATTAAAATCAAAGCTTTTAGCGTTTATGCATTATTCGTATTAAATAAGGTCGCATTTTTTAAATTATGATTAAATCTTTTAAGCTTAACTTTTATAAAGTTTAACGGCGGCTTACCTTTTATATTAGCTGCATTCGTTTCTTTTAAGCGATTTTTTATAACGTTTTTTATATTAAATAAAGCGTTTTTCATTTAATTAAAGTCTTTAATATCTCTTTTAATTTAATAACGATGCTTTTAATCTCGCTAATCGATTAGCCGATTAATTTTTTTTCGTTTTTAAGATAAAATCGAATCTTATCGAACGTTACGTTGCGTATAATAATCACTTTATAAAGCATAAAAACATAGACCTTATATATATTAAAAGCTATATATTCAATTAAATAGCTTATATGTCTTTTCGGTTTAATTTTAAAAGCTTTTTTATTGCGAAAAGCTTTTCGGTTTTTAATTATTAAGTACGCACGAGCGTTATACGCAACTAAACCGCTATAATTTAGTTTTAAATCGGTGTCGATCCGTATAAAAATCGCCGGATCGTATTACTTAAAATATTGCTTAAACTAAAGCTGTTGGATTGCTTCCAAGCGATTGGGAATATATATTCGTAAAGTCGTAACGGTCGTTAAAGTACTTGCAATTGCAAAACACTCGGTTGATAAGGTATCTGAATTCTGTCTGCTCCTTCATGCTCAAAAGAGCTGATTCTTTCTATATGATTAAAAGGAATCACGTGCATTAGCTAGCTAATAAGTTTACTTATCAAGTTGAAGGTCCTTTAACTGTTGGCATGCTAAGCGAGGCATGCTAAGTGGCCCGTGAACTATGGTTCACGGGTGAGCTCCTTCAATTATTACTACTACTAGCTAAGGTCGATATAGATATATCGACACCGGCAACTCTCTCTTTAGCAAGCAATGCTTTGCTAACTATTATATCGACCGAAAAAAAAAAAGGTAATTAAACAAAGGAAAATCAATCTTATTTTACTAAACCTCACTTTCTTTTTTCTTACAGCGGCCTTTCCACTTATCCGTCTACTTGCACTTTTAAAGTATTAATTAAAACTAGCTTTTGTAAAAAAGTATTAGCTCCGATTTTAGTTATAGCGTTAGTAAGGTTAGATTTTCTTCCGATCTAGCGTACCTTAAAAAGCTTCCGCCTTTCGTATGACTCTCGAATAGCTATAATATCGATCATAAGGCGCTTCTTTTTAATAGTTCTTAGCTTTATTATACACTCGTAAAGCGAGTAAAAGTCAATGCATATAATTACGAAGAAATTAAAGATTCTTAGCTGAGTTATGATTTAAGCAAAAGTAGTCGATATAATAATAATTATATCGATACTTAAAGACATAGCGTATAACTTAAAAGCTAATACTGCTTTTGTTATCTTTTTATACTTTTGTAACACTTAATAAAAGATGTTATCCGTTAGAGTGAACTCGTTCTTACTTACGTAAGCTTTATTGCTAAAAATAGCTACGAAACCGATTTAAAAGCTAAAGTTAGCGTTGTTAGTAAACGCTTCGTTTACGAATACGAAAAGCTTCGCTGTCTTTAAGTCTAAAGACACGTAATAGATCTTTCGAGTTAGATAATCGATCAGCTATTAGATCACTTTATTAAAGGCCTTATAGTCTTCGTCTTTCGGTTCTTAATGCTAAGCAGCTATCGATAAAGCATAAGATGCTTTTAAGTAGTAAATAATAGCTAAATACGCTTTTCGAGTACGTTGCTTTAAGTACTTTTTAGCTCGTATAATTGAATCGAGCTTAATTACAGCAAGCCTTTTACTTTATCTTTTTTGCTCGACTGATAATCCGAACCCGTCTTTATTTAAAGATAGCTTGCATTTATTGAAAATCATCGGTTCGGCGTATGTAAAGGTCTTTATTTCTTTGCTCTTTAGCTTAGACTTGATTAACTTTTTCTTTTCTTTTGCTTTTATAGCTCGATTAACGATTATAAGAACATCGTTTATCTATAAAGCAGCTAATTTTAACTGATCTTTGTTAATTGATATAAAGAAGTAAGAGTTAAAGCTCGATTGCTTTATGCCGAAGTTATTTATAAAATGCTCGGAAAAACGCTTATATTAATGTGTCTTTGCTTCGAGGATGCCGTATAAAAGGCTAGTCATAA